CGCACATTTTTAATAATGAAGCACAAACCAAGTCAAGCAAACTCGCAAGAAACACACAAAAATAAACAACAAAACAAATGGTGATGATGAAATCTATTAGTAATGTAGGTATGTGTTTTCAATTTTTCATTTATTTAATATCGTCTAGACTTAATGCTTAGGTCATTCTGACAGACAATTTAGCCCATATTATTTGATCTAAGTTCTTCCTGGATGCAAACTTCTAAAAGGAACAAATAAAACATTTAAAACGGAATTTCAAGTGAATCAGAAAGTATTTTAAAAAATTCATCTTCATCACAAACATGGTGAACTGTTAATGTGTTCAACAGAACCCTGTTGTGTTTTTTGGGATGGGACACCTTAAAAAGTAGATTCCTCCAATCACATTAAATCATTTTGTCAGCCCCCCCCTAAAAACAGGAGAAGACTTTGACGTAATATTTCATCATTTATAAAGAATCCGATTTTTTACTTTCATGCTCAACATCTGTTTGTGTGATTCATTGTAATAGCGTGAGGTATGAGACACAAAGCTAGTATCTCAGCTTTGAACTGCAGATCACACAGCTAGTCACAGTAATAAAACATAAATCCATCTAATACTCCTGTAAGAATTGTGTTGCTGGTTATGAAACAGGCTGAAATTAGTACTGATATAGAGAGTTTCATCTTCTACTCTCAGGCCGGCAGTAAAGTGCACTGTGTTGAAGAGAGAAAGGCATCAGGGCTCCGTTGTACCTGCTGCTATTTGTTTGCTCCATGATTTTTGGGGGGCCCTTATGTAATTATATATTTATGTATTAAAAGTTTGTGTAGTAGTGTATTAGTGTAGTATAATGTTTTGTATGTTTCCTGCTGCAAACCAATTTCCTTGTGGATGGGGACAACAAATATACTTTTGACCTATGACCTTTGATGTCTCTAAATGATCTATAAAATTAGACCATGAGCAAAAAGATTGACTATTTCATCTAAGTTATATTAACTGCATGAACCTGCTTGAAAGATTATTTTTAAAGAGTCTGTATTCACTTTATCCGAGGAAACGATTCACAGTGAGTGATAAGTTTGACATTTTAAAGACAGCAGTATGACTTTTGAGATCACTTATTATGCATTCCCACGACAAGTTCAGCAAAGACATAAGAGGCACTGCTTTGTCCATAGAGGTTGCCAAGATTGACACAAAATAAACATTCTTCATATGAGCTCTGAGTGGTACAATTCACTGAAAAGCTTTCTGTCTCAGTTGGTGGCCATCGCTCTCTGGCAAAAAGGAGGTTGAATTGGAAAGTTATTTTCATTGTCTGCTGTGTTTAGGTGTAGATTTGAACTCAGAGCGATGCCTTCACAGCTGAGAAAAGCACTTCTCTTCAACAGGGCTTCATAAATTTAAAAATACTCAAGATGTCATTAACATTTTATCAGATCTGTATTTGTCCCTCCTTTCTTTGCAGAGAATAAAGTCAAATGTGTTGACCTCACTGACTGCAGCAGGATTAATCATTCTATTTTTTTATTTTCATACTGATAGAACATAAAGGATGTATTAATATCACAAGTCTTTTGCTGCTGTGATACAAAAAAAGAAAACCTCCCATGTGGCTCGTGAACCATCTCAGCCTAAATAAAAGCCAGACAGCACATCCCAATGAGCTTCAGTGATGCTGCTCAAAATGTGACCTTTCTCTCCACTTAACCAAAAACAATTAATTGACACTCTGGGATCAATGAAATCACTCGACAAATGTTAACTAAACTGTCTGTTAGGAAAAAGTAACCTTTAACAAACAGCCAGACACAGAGAAGTATTCTTGCACGCCTCCTCCGTTTTTTACATAGTATTTGTATCAAGTGCTCTGTACAGTTTTTTCAAACAGGCTTTGACATTTCTCTCACGTTCCATTTTTTTCTCCAGCCGCAGCTTATGAATGTTTAAAAAGATGCCTATTCGCAACATAAATCTATTTTTTCTGCCTGATACATGTGCAACAATATACATAGTGTGATTGAAGGGTTTAACAGAGTTAGTCAGTTGAACAATCTTTTCTTTAGCAGGCTGAATCACAAAAAAAAATGTCTGCTGCATTTGACACAGCCTTCTAAAGTCCAGTCCCATTTTGCTCTCTTAACAGTTGGGCAGGCCTGTTAGTACCCAGCAAACCTTTGGTCCACTATATATTTTCCTGATATACTTAGGCCTGTGTAAGTGGCCTGTCTCAAACTAAGGACTTGACATAGTCAGGCCTGATTAGTCAGATTTTGCCTATTGTCGACTGATCGATGAATGACTGAATGGAGAAGACAAATCTATGTAACATTAGACATTGAGCATCCCCTTATTGCTGAAATGGAATGATCCTTATGTTCGACCATGAGACTGGCAGATTTGACGACTTGTGGTCACCCATAGTAAGTTCAGAAAACCACATTTTCAACTACGTATGAACATTAATTTAAGAAAAGGGAACCTTAATACCTTGACTGTATAGAAGGCATTGTGTTTCTTCTATTACCGAACAGAACAAACACATTTGATACCACAGGTTCATTGTAGTCAGATGCCACAGTTTATAAGATTTGATCTGAAAAGCAGGTGGCATGTTCTGGGTGACATGTTCTGGATGACTGGTATCTTGTCAACCTAATTGCAAAGAATGTCTTAATTTTCTTTTAGCGATTGAGAACACTTCTAACTGGACACAAAAGATAACAGTGTATGTAGTTCTTGCTGTTAGCGTATTGAAGCTATATTGAGTGCAGAATCCTGCTGTAAGGATCAATCATCCCCACGTTTCTTTTTATTGATCGCCTTTACTTCAACAGGAGTAAGAGGCTCAGGATTTAGGATTGGTAATAATTCATGGAATTTAATGAATAGGCCTCATTGGGTGGTGCTATAGTGTATTTATTTTAATAAAATAAATAAAACACATGTTAACTGTGATATCAAATCTTGGTGCTTTTTCAACATTTATTATGTTTTTGTCTGTATATTAGGTATGTATTCATTACAGTCAGAACAAGACATGAAGAGACATCGAAAAGGAGGCTCTTGCAAACAAAGTCTATGGTAGTCAATGGTCATCAATAAAGACAATAGATACAGCCATGCTTATGGGTTTCTAAGTGTTTTTAATCTCACACATTCAAAGTCTCTTCTCTTCTGTTCAAGTCTCTGTAGCATCACTTTCAGTCTTTTTTTTCATAGTGGCCGACAATTCACCCAGGTATTTTTTGGCACTGAACCAACGAGGCCACTGGGTTTCCCCGGAGCCTCAGACGAGCTGGCACGAGTGACACACAAGGCAAGCTGTGCTGACAGCCTCAGACAAATGACCTGTTAACGATCTTTCTCTGTCTGGAGATTCGTCTCTTGTCAGTCTCTCTTATCACTTCTCACTTTTTTGGACTTTAATTGAAAAAACATATTGATCTCCCATGGTGAGAATATGCATATAAACCTTGTTTAACTAACTAAGTTACCTTAGAAATGCAGGAAAGGTCAACACAGCTCTTAGGTCAAATGACTACAACACTACAACACCCAATTGTATTCTTGATCAATATCAGTGGCTCACTTTTTAGCCCAAAGCCCAGAACACTCTGCCATTTTAAAACCCTCTTGAATTCGAGGCTTTCTCTGCTGCTTTGTGTTAGACCTCACTGCTATTTTATTGAGGTGCTTCTTCAATAATTCTTGAATTTTGACCAGATTTTTACGCTGATGTCGGGATATTTGGTCTGTTGGTGGTTTCTGAGACACCGGACAACATTGTTTTCTCTGTCATACTTCATGCCTTTCATGCATTGATCATTTTTGAGCATATTGATATTTGTGTAATGGTGTGTTCAGAATAATGCAAAGCTACTTTTTGTGGGATAGGTTGACAACTAGAATGACTGTATTCAACCAGTGGGAAAAGTAAACACCTTTTCAGAAATCTGCGTAGTATGGGGGAAAAACTGCTACTGTGTTTTTTTTTTTAATTTAAATATGCCAGTCTTAATGCTGTGACTTTTAATTTTTTTTCATCAAAAATGTTTACTGGCAAATCAATGCTTAAGTTGTTTCTCATTAATTCAACAAGCAACTTGCATGTGTCATTGCAGGTTTAATTTAAGACGTTCCATATTTTTGGGCTTTTTTTTTTACCTGTTCTTTGACAATGTTTGAAATGTTAGAGAAGTTATCTGTGCTAACCTAACTTTGGATACCTGCAGAATATGTGAATGAGACAGTTGTACATGTTTTGATTTGTAGCCATATTGTAGCTCATAAGTTTGGACCAATCATGTTGGAGCAGGCTATGGTTTTATTCAGGAATCAGCCTGTCAAGCTTTGTTATTAATATCACTAAACAGATACAGTCTTCTTCTGGATTCAGATAGCAATTTAATCTAGATGTAGTCTCTTTACTCTGTGTTCTCACGTTTCAAATTGCTGGACCAACAGTAACTATGACCCCCCCCCCCCCCCGACAGAATCAGAAAAGCCTTTATTCCCCAACTCCATGATCTCTTATCCACTTGCCACACTTTTGGCCCAGAATTATAACAGTAAAGTGTGTACCCATGCAGAGGCTAAATCATGTCAGGCATATTTCCAAAGGTTTACGTTAATGGAAAAATTCCTGCAATATAAACGAAATAAATAAATAAAACAAAGGACAGAGTTAGAAGCTGTTTTTATGTCCTAGCTGTAAAATGCCACCATCTTTTTATGTCATTTGCCACTTTCTTAATTATAATGATGTCTTAATCAAACATCTGTAAGAATGTTGAATATTCTGCCATAACATAACTTCATTCAAGTAAAGAGTTTAAGAAGAGAGGATAAATATTGTAAGAAAAGGCAAAAGGGAAGAAGGAACATGTGTGCAGGTCAGAGGGAAATATATAACCTTCATAAAACCATCCTACCTGGAAACAAAAAACAAAAAAACAATTCTTAAAGACTGAATAAGTAATATGTTTTTTTTCTTTTTCTTTTTCAGTGAAGAAAGCCAAACTACATGGGCCTCCAGGTAAGCGCTTTCACCTCCCACTAAATATCTGTTATTGTGTGATAAGTGAGGCTTTTCAGTTGTGTCATAGAAATGATGCTTTTATCTCTAATCAGCAGTCTCAGTCTGTGACATATGGATGGTTTGAGATTTTTTACTGTGTCCTCTGGACTTAACAAAGAGATTATTGACATGTTTGTTTATGTGATGAATTTCACATGTTCATTATTTAGAATTAAATTGTTTTTTTTTGTTGGGGAATAACAAAATCAAGTATGTTTCTTATACAAAAAACGTTTGTACAACATTGATAACTGAAAATGCTTCCTGTTGTTACTTGATGTATTGATGCTTTCAGGCATTCAAGTGTTTTTTTTTTTTCACCTCTGTCTGCGTGCTTATGTTTTCTATATGACCGTCGCTAGATGCAAAATATATTGGAAGACATGAAAGGGGGGACCAGATACTTCTGCTTGAGTAAAACATTTGTTCATATTTATCAGGTCCTTATGATTGGTATCAAGTTCAAAGGTTTCATGTAAGTTCTCCGACTTAGTGTCAGGTCTGTATATTTTGGTGTTTGATTCAATAATAAGGTCATTGTATGGTTTTATATTAATTGGTGTTGGCTTGTATGTCAGTGTACCGTAAGGTTCATGTAGTTTAGGTTATTATCCATGTTTCTTGAAATTTATATAAATGTTGTTATTCATAAGCAGTGCTTTCCACAAACATATGGAGTCGGCAGCCAGTGGGAAAAACTTGCACCAGCTGTATGCACTCGCGAACCATATCTTGTCCTGTGCCTTTCCACGTGCAACATTTCTTGCCATCTTGATGTTTGAATCCCTCTGCATCAGTTTAGGTCGAAATAGTCCAGGAGATGAGCGCCAGCTGAAGAGGAGACTGTTTCTCTTTCATTTACAGAAGAGTTCCTCTTCAAGTGTGAACCACTGACAGTTCTCAGCAGCTTCTCAAATCTGGGACTTCATATTCCCATCCACCTTTTCTTTCTGTTTTTTTGTTTGTTCCTCTCCGCTGGCTGCAGCTGCTCGTCCCTCCTTCTCCCCAGGCGATGATGAGGGGAGAACAACCACCACGAGTGGGAGAAAGACAAGTCAAGCCAGAGGAGGAGACGAAGAAATCAATAGATCATCACAGACAAAGGACCACCTGCTCGCTCTAAATGAGAACTTGTCATATCGACATAAAAGGGAAGATTGAGACAAATCCCTCAATGTCTTCAGAAGACAGAGACAGACATCAGGAACAGGAGATGATTTGTCATCAGCTGCCTCTGGCCTCAGACTGCAGAGCTCAGATTTGATTGATCCTCTTAGGGATCATAAAGCAGGACATGAGTGATAGAGTTGCTACCGTACAGGCAAAGATATTGTAGAGATGGACACGCAAAATAATAATTTAGCAAAACTACTAAACAAATGAATTAAATTTCATATAGTTATTGCAAATGTTAAACCCATTCCAATGTTGAGTTAGGGCTTTGTAAGAGCTACTTACAAAATAAATTCCTTGTAACCTGAAACTTTTTAAAGATTAGCTCCTTCGACCAAAAATAATCCAAAACCACCATTCAAATTTCAGGATGCAGTTTTGTGGTTTTGGTGCGGGCATGTGAACATCATATCCTGTTTTCACAATCCTTGAAATGATGCTCCTATCCTAGGAAACCAGTTTGACATGTAGCTATTTACACAGGGAGACTCTGACAGTGATGTGAAGTGTCTCTGCAACTCATCTTACGGTATTTAATAGTCAGTCAAACAAGGACAATGATGATAAATAATGCAGGGATAATCTCTGCACCGAGGCCTCTGACATCAGAGAATAGTTTGTCTGGATAGAAAACTCCAACTTCTGAAGCAGGACGTTTTCAGAAGATTTGAATTTCACAGGCAATCTCTTTCCTTCTGCTTAAGGACTCAACTGGAGAGAAGTAAAGAGGTCCAATGACTTCCCCCCCCACAGATGGATGCTTTTAAAGTCTTTTCTTTTCCAGAAACAGAAACTCTTCACCTGAAGTGAATATCAAAATTACAGGCTCAATTCCCATTGAAGTATTTTGCAAAAAGAAATCTCTGAATGCAGGTGATGCAAAAAAAAAATCAGTATTTGGTGGCCATGATCTTTCGGCCCTCAGGCATCGAAAACAGACACAATTCTTCAGTGGCCATCACTGCATGGGCCCAGGATCACCTCCAGAAACCATTGTCTGCGAACACAGTTCATCACTGCTTTTACAAATGATGGCTGAAACTCTACCATGCTTACCATAGTTGGGAAATTGCTACTATACGCGTAGTATGTTTGTTTTTGTCCACTATTAAGTAGAAAGCTCTGATCTTTCTATCACCGAGTAGGAGGAGATGAGCAGCACAGAAGGAGAGGGTGTGTGTTCATTAAATCCTCAGGGCACGACAGGATTTGGTAGAGTTTAGGCTCGTCCAGGAGCTGCAGCTCTATAACGACCGCTTCACAAGCACGACACACATTTCTGCTGCTGTTTAAAACGCCCCTGGTTTGGCCCAAACTGTTGGACATTTCTTTTCAAACTAGATATTTCTCTCTGTCCTGGAAGGTCGTGATCTGATCTTCCCTCCTATTGGAAGCGTGGAGGTGACATCACAAAGCGATGTGCAGCGCACAAGAACGGCAAGCGTGACCCTAACCTACGCTCAGCTTGGCGGACTGCAGATATGCTTTTTGCGCGGAGCAACACATACACAATGAATGGGCTTGTGCAGCGCCCACCGCCACTGTCTGAAAAGTCCTTTATTGAGGGCTTGAGTTTTTCCCAATGAGTACAAAGATATTTCTATTCAGAGACTCTTTTTAAATGCTGTGTCCTGTCAAAGTGGTGATACAGTATATAAACTGTGATAAGTTGAAACTGGGGAGATTTAAAGTGGGATAAAGAAGGAGGCCAGTGAAGTGTCCTCTAATCTTTTTAAATTTGACCTAATATAACAAACCTATTTACCTCAGGGCTGTAACACCCAGTCATGTAGGTGACAGAAAGTTTACCCAGAATGCATTTCTGTTATTTGACATGATTATTGGTCTCAGGTCAAACACTTCTAACAGACTTTGTCCCACTCTGATGCCCTAGTTTGGGGAAATGATTTATGTTAATAGTAAGAAGCTGTCATTTTTTTTGTGCCTATGGGGAGCCAGCTGCTGTCTCAAGACCCTCCTGAAACCCCCAAAGCTTTGCAACTCCTGAGAGATGTCTCTTGGTTAATGTGTCACTTTATTAGTTTAGAAAATGTAAGGCACAGTCTCCTGTTTTTATCCATGCTGCCATTTTGGCTCTCCAGTGATGTCATAGTCCGGAGATTAAAATCTGTGAACCAGCCTACAACTGTTAGATGGTTTGCCATGTTATTGGTCAAAGACAGTCCCGGTTTCTGGAGAATCTCTAAATGCCACGCTACCACTGCAGAAATGTTTATAAAGGAACAAAGAACTTGAGGAGGAACTCTTTGTTTACTGTAGAGACAAGGGTCTAAATGTAGTCATGGGACAGTAGTCCCTGGTTCCTGCAGTCGAAATGAATAAAAAAGGTTCTTAGTGCCAGGGGAACGTTTCTGCAGGCAAAATGGGGCTTATGTAACCCTCCAAGAAGTTCTTGCTCCTGAAGGTTATCATTTAAAAAGTTTAAGAAAGAGTGTGGCTTGCAATGCTGAACATTTCTGATTTGTTTACGACTCCCGGCCTTTCATGTGAGGGTTGGCATCATCGGTAAAACTAGCAGTCGCTTTTTCATACACACATGTAGTCTTTTGACTTCTCTTCACTGTCTTTTTTCTTCTCTTTTTGTTTCTATGTTAATGCTGCAATTTGGAGGTTTAATATGAAACACCCAGCCCAACTCAATAAATTATTGAATTTTATTTGTAAAGGGACTGTGTCCAGTATTAAACATAAATGTTATTGAAAGGGACTCCCAGGATAAATGATTTAAAAACAAATTAAAGCACCAAATGGAATTAGGCATATAGATGCAGCTTTAATATTTACTTTGTTATTTTAGTTTGAAATTTTAAATCGCAGAGCTCAGCATTTCTCAACATAAACAGATTATTTCTAATTATAATGGATGTTACTGCCGTGACTGGGTCTGTAACAGGGGACAGCATGAACACATCGAAGTGCCTTAAGTAAATGATCCCATAAAAGAGTTCACAGTAATTGAATAAATGACTCTAAATAGTCAGCATGTGTTTTTTTCCCACGAACATACAGAACAGTACCAGTAATTGATCGATTCATAAAAATATTGATTTTTGGAGGTTGAAAGAACTGTAATCACAAAATGAGAAAAAAACAGCAGGATGTTGTAAAACACTGCTGATATAAATACTGTCTGAAAAAAAAGAACATCCTGTCTGTTTGCATTTATGAAACAAAAAGGATTTAGTCTCAGTTTAATATCTCATTCAACTCCTTTCATCCATCAAAAACAGTCTCCCCCACTACCCCCCCCTTCCTCTCTCCCCCTCCCCTAACAGAGTATCTATTATTGTAGACAGCAAAGTAAATGTCATCTTGCGCGGCCGTGCCGCACACGTCCATGTGTAACAGAATATAACTTATTTATTTTCATAAGTCATCGCCACTTAATTATAAATGACGCCTACTGCTCCCCAAGAGGGGCCAGCTGCATGATGGGATATGTCCTCCACACCACTGCTAGTTGCTGCATACTGAGAGATGGTGTTTGTGCAACCAAGCATTTACAAGAGTCTACTGAGTGTGATTAAGATGTCTTCTCTGACAACCCTGATGGAGTCAAAGGAAATGGATGCTAAATTTAGAAACATTTACTTATTTTTGTTTTAGATGTTCCTTGTTTTCGAATTTGATTTGTGCTGTGGGTTTGTTTTTGCTTTGTTTTGTGGCTCGTCCTGTTGCTGTGTTTTTTCCCTATTTCTATCCTTCCCTCCTGGCTCAGGCAGTAAATGGGGCTGTCTGCACCCTGCCATTCCCCCTGTCCCCTT